GTGGCCCAGCCCCGCCCTGCCCCACCCCGCGCCCGGGCAGTACCCACTGGGAGGCATCGCTGGCAGCCTCATCAGTTTTAGCAAAAGATCAGTGTGGCCCTAGCTGGTGTGGCTCAGTGAGCATGTCCCATGTGGCTGCTGCCCGTGCAGCCCCCCAGGCCAAGCTCTCAGCGTTACCTGCCTCTGGGCGGTGATCCAGATGGGCACGCTGCCGTTGTCCCACCAGCGCTGGACGCCCAGCGTGGCGTGGTAGGGCAGCTTGAGCTTGCTGCTGGTGTTGTAGAACATGTTGTGCACCACCCCGTGGTTCTCGATGTACTTGCCTGCGGGGAGGCGGAGGGAATGTGCCGGGCTCGCCACCACGGGCACGGGCACGGGCACGCTCCGACCCGGCCGATTCCCATCAAGGGCACAGGCCGGGGTTGCGGGCTCGATCCCCAGTGGGGGCGTGCAGGAGGCAGCCGATCAATTCTCTCTCATCATTGATGTTTCTCTCCCTCTCCCTTCCTCTCTGAAATCAATTTAAAAAAAAAACTGGTGGTGCCCGTGTGGCTCTCGGAAGGGATAATGATGCAACCAGGATCCAGCCCCAGCAGAGCCAGGCGCGTGGATGGGCCGCCTCCAGTTTGTGTTGCGTGGAAACGCCCACACGGGAGCTCGGGTGCAGGAGGAGGCGCCGTGAGGGCCTGCGCTGCCCCCCTCCCACCGCGACGCGTGAAGTGAAAAGGTGGCGCGCGGGCGGGACAGCCGGTGCTGCGGTGGGTGTCGGGGCTGTGGTCGCAGAAACGCTGGCGGGAGGACGAGCCGCCTGCACGGAATCGTGTCCCCCAGAGTCGTGCCACCAGCTTCTCAGAAGGTGACCTTTTTGCAGATGGGGTCATGGCAGATGTGATGCGTTAGGTTAAGATGAAGGGGAGCCCCAGCCGGCATGGCTCAGTGGCTAGAGCGCCGGTCTGTGGACCAACGTGTCCCGGGTTCGATTCCCGTCGAGGGCAGGTACCTCGGTTGCGGGCTCCGGCCTGGCCCGGGCCCTGGTCAGGGTCATGCAGGAGGCAACCAATCGATGTGTCCGGGCTTGGGCAGGAGGCAAACAACTGATGTGTTTCTCTCACATGGATTATTTCTGTCTCCCTCTCTCTCCCTCACTCTCTCTAAACATCAATGGACAAATACCCTGAGTGAGGATTTAAAAAAAAACGATGAAGCCGGAGCCGCAGATTCATCTCTGAGGCCCGACCACGCTCAGCTCCTCCGGGAGGCCTCCTGGGTTGCCCCCAGGCTGTTGCCAGAGAGACCACTGCCCGTGTTTATCCGCTATCAGATGCCGCCAATGCTGGGGGCTGTTCTCCCCAGCGAGTGTCCCCTCCTGGCTCACCTTTGTCCCCACACGGTGCCCCGGACGTCTGTGTGCATACCCTGTCCCCTGGCTTCTCAGCCCCCCCCCGCCCCAGGTCCCATCCGCAGGCGGCACTCACCGGTGACCAGGGTGAAGTGGCAGGGGCTGGTCATGGTGACGAAGGGGGGCGTCATGTAGCGCGCCTTCACGCCGTCCAGCGCCATGGCGTCCAGGTTGGGGGTGTCCACGTCCTGGTCGTAGTTCCAGCGGAAGCCGTCGAAGGACACCAGGAGCAGCTTGTGCCGGGAGCCCTGCCGGCCCACGGGCACCCCGGCCCCCGGAGCGAGCAGGGCGGCCAGGGCCACGGCCACGGCCAGGAGGGCGGCCGGGTGGCTCATGGTGGGTTGTCTGAGGCGCCGGTGCCGGGCGTGTGCCTCCCGTGGACGGAGCAGAGCAAAGTCCCAGGGTCACCAGGCCTCTGATCCGGGCGCCTTTGCGAGCGAGACTGTGGTCTTACCTGTGTCTCAGGAGGAGGCCCTGGTGGCCCGAGGCCGTGTCACCTGCCTTTATTGCCCACGCTCCTCCCCCGTGGGCGTGTGCCCTCCTGGGCGGGGCGGGGGCCAGGCCCGAGGATCAGAGAGCAGAAGGGGCCCTCCACGGGGTGGCCTGGCCTTCACCCGCTCTCTCGGTCCCCGGGCCCTGCTCACTCTGACCCAGAACATGACATTTGGGGAGACCTTGGGGTCTGTGGGCCTCGGGCCTGCCTGGGCCAGGGCTGCGGGAGGGGCTTCCCAGGGCAGGGGGCCGAGGGCTACGGGAGCACAGCCTGGGGAGTGCCTCTCGAGGGGCCTCCTGGGACGGGGTGGGCGGAGCCACCCTGTGGGCCTGGTCAGCATAGCCGTGCCTCCCCCTTGTCCCCTTGTAACCTCAGGGTGGCGCGGGCATGGGCAGCCTCGTCAGCAAGGTGGACAGAGAGGGGTTCCCTTGTCACCTGTGCTCATGGGGGCGGGGGGGGAGTGTGAGAGTGTGAGAGGAGCCCTGGGCGGGGCGCGGTTCTGCTACTATCTTGTCTCTCTATCTTTATTTCTCTCTCTCTCTATCTTTATCTCTCTGTATCTCTGTCTCTCTATCTTTATCTCTCTCCATCTCCCTTCTCTCCCTATCTCTCCATTTCTGTGTCTTTTCTGTGTCTCTCTCCCTACCAACCTTTTTTTTTTTTTTTTTTTTAATGCCCTTGATTGGAATTGAACCTGGGACCCTTTGGTCCACAGGCTGACGCTCTATCCACTGAGTCAAACCAGCTAGGACTTACCACCCCTTTTTAAAAATTGAATTTATTGGGGTGACCCTGGTTAACCCCCCGCCCCCCCCCACACACCTGATGGAGCTGCTCTCTGTACCAGACACTGCTCTAAGTTCTGGGGACCCCGCGGTGAGGGAGGCAGGCGTGCTCCTGACTGCGTCCATCTGGCTGGGGACACACACAATAAAAGGACACGAGTAGGACAGGCCACAGTGAGTCGCCACGGGGAGGAAAGCAGGAGACCAGATCGGGGTGTCCGTCGGCAGCACCTGGTGGGCGGCGGGCAGGGCCTCCTGAGAGGGTGGTTCTGGGGGCCGAGGCCATGGTGTGCAGTCCGCGTCCGTAGCCCTGCAGTGGGCAAGCAGGGCCCTGGCACCGCGGGTCTAACATAGAGGGGCAGCCCGTTGCAGGGCAGGGTGGGGCAGGAGGCAGGAGTGGGCTGGGTGCTGGGCGGCGAGTGGTGGTGCCGTCCTCAGGCCGTGGCCGTGGCCCAGACACGGTGGGGGCCGTGGGAGCCAAGGAAAGAGAGCAGCTCGGGGATGTCCAGTTCCCACGGAGCGGCTGGGGTGATGGTGTCACCTGTGACGGGGTCAGCGGGAGGTCACGGGAGGAGCAGGGCATGGACGAGGGGCAGGAGGGGTGCGCTCGGGCTGAAGCGGGAGGCAGGCCGCAGAGGAGCCCGGATTCTATGCGACTCCAATCTAAGACCTAATATAACATTTCGTGTAAAATCCCATTCTTCCCAAGAAGATGGCCACCAAGGAGAAAGACTACATTTCCCAGCATTCTCTGCAGCGAGGCTTGGCCATGTGACTACATGCTGGCCAATGGGACCAAAGAAAAGATGATGAGCCCGCCTGGGCCTCCGCCACAGCCCAGGTGTGCTACACCCCGTTCTGATCCCGCTCCCCCTGGTCCCCGAGCTCAGAGCTGCCTGGGTGGGGCCGGCGAAGATGAGGGGCGCGGCCTGGGTGGTCTTTCCTTTTTTTAAAAGACATGTTTTTGTTGATGTCAGAGAGGAAGGGAGAGGGAGAGAGAGAAGCATCCATGATGAGAGAGAATCATGGATCTGCCTCCTGCACGCCCCGCACTGGGGATGAGCCCACAACCCGGGCCTGTGCCCCGACCGGGGATCGAACCGTGACCTCCTGGTTCCTAGGTCAACGCCCAGCCCCTGAGCCACGCCGACCCGGCGAATATAAGCTCTTTATCCATAGTCTCCCTGCCCGGCCAGTGTGGCTCAGTGGGTTGAGCATCATCCTGTGCTCTCGGCGGGTTTGCCCCGTACACAGGTGCACGTGTGCCCCGGCCGTTGAGCCACGCGTGGGGCCCGGGTGGGAAGAACCAGCTGCCCCGCCCTGGGCCGGTTTCCGCTGGGCAGAGGGACGTGCAGGCTTGTCCCCTAAGGCCAGCGTCCGGTCCCGGCCACCTGTCCTTCCTAACCTGGTGCGAAGGAGCCGCCACGCGGTCGTCTCCGCGAGGGACGCTGGGCCCCGCCTCCTGGCACAGTGCCCGGCGCACAGTAGGCATGGCAGGACCCTTGAATGCGTGAGCGAAAGAACACAGGGTGAGATGAGCAGGCCCACCCGGGGCCGCCCCTGACGGACCCTGCTCTCCTGGGCTGTGCAGCAGGACATCCTACAAACAGGGCTCGCTCGGGCTGGGCGGCCACCGTGCGGCCCTGGGCTGGTGAGGGGAGCAGGGTCAGCTGGGGTGCTTCAGCCTGGGAGGGATTAGGAGCCCCCCGCCCCCCCTCCCCCACGGAGGCTGGGACGGGCCTGCTGTCCCGATGGCGGGGTTATCAGGTTTATCAGCTCGAAGGTCCCTGTATCAATGGCCCTGGACCTTTATCGCTTCTCAGGGCTTTATCTCAGCAGCCGCCTTGAATGAGGATTAATATTTTAACAGGATTATGTGCTGCTACAGCGCTCTCCGGGGACATGGGGCACTCTCCACCCTCACAGCCTCTCCTCTCCCTCAGCCTCTCCCCCCGCATAGCCCCTCCCCTCCCTCAGCCTCTCCCCCCGCATAGCCTCTCCCCTCCCTCAGCCTCTCCCCTCCCCCAGCCGGGGGGGGAGGGGGAGAGAGGTGGGGTAGAGAGGAACATCGATCAGCTGCCTCCTGCACATCTCCTACTGGGGATGTGCCCGCAACCCAGGTACATGCCCTTGACCGGAATCGAACCTGGGACCTTTCAGTCCGCAGGCCGACGCTCTATCCACTGAGCCAAACCGGTTTCGGCTACCTTTTTCAGACTCTTGAGTAGGGTGGGAGAGCTGGGGATGGGGGATCTGGGGGGGCTGTTTTGTCTCAAAGAGCAGGTGTGTCATGGGGGAAGGGCGGCCTGGCAGCGAGGTCCCCATGGATACTGCAGACTGGTCAGCAGCTGGACTGTCCGTGGGGAGAAAGGAGGAAGGTGAGGCTGGAACGAGTGAGAAAGAGAGATGGGGGCGGGGGTGAGAGGGGGAGAGAGAGAGAAACATCGATGATGAGAGAGAATCACAGACCGGCTGCCTCCTGCAGGCCCCCACCGGGGATCGAGCCCACAACCCGGGCCTGTGCCCTGACGGGGAGTTGAACCGTGACCTCCTGGTTCATAGGTCAACGCTCAGCCCCTGAGCCACACCGGCCGGGCCTGAACCACAGATTGATGAACGTGAGCTGGCCCTGCCCTCACTTGGGTTCTGGGGCTCCCTCCTGGGCCCACACCCTGTGCTTTACCGACGGGAGGGGCCCCCTCTGTGCAGGGTCCGCCTCTTGGAGCCACTGGCCCCCAGGAGACAGGGCAGGGCCACGGGGGGGGGGGCAGGGCCGCAGGACCCATGCGTGCTGCCACCCCCTTTGCAAGTCGAGTCCCTGCGGGTCCCCTGGTCCCCACACAGTGACTCTGTCAGGCCCCCCCTCAGCCTGCGTCGCCGTGGTCCTCACTGTTCCCGGGTCCTCCAGGGGCTCGGACTCAGGCCTGGAACCTTCCAGAGTTTTTCCTGCGTGTGCGCCTCTCAAAGCTTTCTGTTGCCCTAGCCACTAGCTCTGACGGGCAGGAGAGGGGGCCGCAGGGCAGCGTCTGGGCCTTTCCAGCTCGGGGGTTGCTTCTTTTGAACCCTCTGACTATTATGTCCTTTCTGTTTCTATTCTCTAACTCATTATACTAGCTATTTAACAAAACACCTTATTTCCTTAACTAAATCATACTTTTCTTTCACACTTTGTGTCCAAAGAAACTTTGGGAGTAAGCTGTGATATAACTGGTATTGCCTACATGTAAACGAACTTATCAAAGTAAAACTAGAAGTCAGGCAATATCCTATGAAGAGGAATACCCTATGAACAAAAAGGCCTGTATTCTTTAAAATCTTAAGATGATAAAAGATAGGGACAAATGAGGAACTGCTCTAGATTGAAGGGGACTAAAGTCACATGACAACTAAATACATTCAATCCTGGACAAGAAAGGAAAAAAAAATGCAACCACATA